AAAATAAGTAGTAAAGTAAAGTAAAAATATCAGAAAAATCTACTTGAGTACAGTAACGAAGTATTTGTACTTCGTTACTTCCCATCTCTGCTTGATGGTGCTCTGAGCAATGGAAGCCCAAAGAATGTTTGTGGGGGGAAAAAAAAAAAAAAAGAATTTTTTTATAACAAAGATATAATTGGGGAAAATGCTGCAGATGTAAACATCTCACTGAATGCCTTTTTTTTTTTTTCTTTCTTAGCAGCGTTAACAGAAAAACCCCGACCCAGCCAGAGTCCCGACTCCGATCTGATAATGAATATTTGGACTGAAAAATACAAAAACCTGGGCTGCAGTTATAAGAACTGTCAGATCGCTATAATGTCAGAAAATATATACGTTTTACCATGTTTTAAGAGGCCAATCTCTGTTTCTGTCAAAAACCACTTTCAGAAATGAACCCAAACTCACCGAGGTGTCTCAGGTGCCACCTTGGGTCGATGGAGGAGTGTCGTTTATAAAAGACAATGAGAAGTGGAGGCGTGGTAAGACTTTCTGCAAGTGTACTACTATACAGATCGACTCTGTTAAAAGAAAACAAAGGGGTTGGATTAGTGAACATATTTGCTTCCTTATTTAGCTCTACTGTTTAGCCTGCGTGAGTCCTCACTGAGAGTTGAGCTCCATCCAGTGCTCCAACTGCTGGGTGATGTTTTGGTTCTTCCACTCTGTCAGGTTTGCAATAATGACCCCAGGGTTAAAGGAGCATGTGTTTGCCCTCATCCCCAGCTTTTTAATGGCTTCCTTTTTAAAATCCAGGAACCCCATGTAGTTGATCTAAAAAAACAAAAACAAAAAAAAAACAGGGTTAGTTATTTAATAATGAATGTCTGGATATCAGATCTGGATATAAAAACCCAAATAGCTCCTGAAAGGCTAGAGCACCTGATTTCCAGCCCCTCGAACGATGCCCTTAGCAGAAGCAGAGTCACAGTCGTCAGAGAAGGCAGCTGCATGACCTGGTTTCAGGCTGGTCTCATAAAGCTCCTGAATGTCTCCTGATATCCAAAACAATCATTCCATAAATCTCCTTTACATACTTTAACCGCTGCGTGATGTGAAGCAGACCTGATTTGATTTATCGTGGGTTTATTCCTACCTTGAACAACAACGTCGTCGTCTAGATAGATCGCCTTTTCTGCATCCGGTATGTACACAGGCAGATAGAACCTGGCGAAGGTCAACTAAGGCACACATATCACCAAATGTTAAACACATAAACAGCCATAATACACATTATGGAGACAGACTTGCAGTATTGTTTGTCGCAAAAACTTACTGGTTTTGCAGCATCCAGCATTGAAGTATCTTTTGGTATCTTCCCATTTAAAAGCTCTGGTTGGAAAATAACTATTTTATATTTGACTTCTTTTAACTTTGTGTTACTCATCCAGGCCCTGTTGGTGAAAAAAAAAAGAGGATAATTTTAATTCACTTGGATGCTAAAGAATTCCTGTGCTTACTGAGTTATTTAGGACTGACTTTAGATGATCCACTGTGTCATTCGGGGTCACAATGGTGAAGGCCACATTAGCTTTGCTGTTGTGATGGACGCTGTTGATGGCAGCGATCACGCCACCGAGCCTGTCCTCTGCGGCAGTGATGAGAACAGATATCTCCTCCCCTTTCGCCCCCGTCTTTAGCCTGGCTTGCGGAGACAGTTCTGCCTCGAAAGGGAGAATCTGCTCTGCATCTGGATGGGATGAAAACCAAACATGCACAAAAGTTTTGCTTTGTAGCACAAAAAAAGAAACACTTGAATATGAGAACCGCCGTTATTTGGGTCTGAGTAAAGCTTCAGCTCACAGGCTTACCTGAGTTTTCCTTGTGTAAGAAGTCGCTTAGTTTCAGGAGGTTTCGCTGAACTATAATTAGGAAGGCCACAGCCAGCAGTATGAGGATTACAACATTTACTGTGGATCAAATGAGATGTGAGTTATTAGATGTATGAGAATCCAGTTTAAGGAACAGAACTTGAACATTACAAACTTTGTTTGATAAAAACAGAGCTATGAAGTGGAAGAAAAGGGATGCATGCTTTTCTAAATTTGAACAATTTCCCCCAGAATTTGAACCCCATTACCTTATGCTGCTACAGAATAACACCTCGAAGTCTACCAGCTTTGCAAGTCAGATCAAATAATTTAATTATTTAGTCAATTATTCAGTCAGTTCATGATTTCTGAAGGCAGGTGCTTGATTTATTTAGGGGTAACACAATAAAACAGCTAAATAGAACTCTGGATTTTTACATGTAAACCATTTAATTTCACAATGATGTGCTACTTTCTGTTGGCCTGGGCAAATAATAAATAAAATTAATGTTTTTGGTTGTATGTAATGTTTTTGGGGTGTATAGTTTACTAATATAAACACTAAGCTGTTGGGGGGTTATATATTACAACGTGTATGTGATCTACAGTTAATGATCAATACAAATATGCGTTGATCATTTCAATTAGTGTAAATTATGAGTGATTAAAGCTTCCCTCACCTCTCCTTAGTGTCATGGTAGCCGCTGCATTAGCAGTCGTAGCCTTAAAAATGGAGATAAAAGGGAAAAGAAGACAAATAAATTCAGAGGTGGTTAAAGTGATGCTCACGCCAGGTTGAGGCGCCCCCACAGAGCACCGTTATGAAGCCGCTGTGTGGTAACTGGACAACAGCTAAACAGTCGGCTGGATGTTTATTCCTCGCGGAAATTAAATATGCCTCCTTAAAAGGCGCAGTTTTTGAGAAAATCCTCGCTTGTCGGATTCGCATTGAAGCCAAACTGCCAACTCAACATCAACAAGTTTGTTTCCTCCACTAACGCGACTGCACGGCAGCTATAGGTGGTAAACATATGCCTGTTTAAAAAGATAAAATATATTGGCTTTCTGACTTTACAGGAGGGGTTTATTACGTCTAGAGAGCAAAGTTTGATTATTACGAAAAAGTATACATAGAAAATATAAATTTGATGTAAAAGATATAATAAAGGAAAGTCACATTTTCAACAGGCATCTTTCAGTCAACTTACATACTCTGTAGACTTTTAAATGAATATTGTAATGCCTTCAAAGACCTTTGAGGGTTCACATGATATATGAGTTTGAGAAACAACGCTGTTCCTTTAAATAAAGGCACACGTATTGAATGGATGGGTCCTTCCTTAACATTCAACGTAGCTTTTGAAACCGGAAGTGATCTGCTAGGTGTTGCTAGCAAGAGCCAAAGTTATTTCCGTTTAAGCAGTTAATTTCAGGTTGCAAAATGCTGTCTATATTCAAGTCCATTCCTACGCACATGGTAAGAACTAATTAGATAATTTATTTGGAAGATGTAAGTTGAGGCATTATTAGTAATAGTTTGCTTTATGATTGAGACGTTAGTTTTCTGGCGCTTTAACTAGTAACATATGCTATCTAAAGTCATGTTTCATTTTGGACAGAGCTTTAAGCCTTTCAATTTGATAGGAGCTGGGATAATGAAACTGAAGTTATTATAAACTATCTCTCACTATGCTGCTCTAACATCAGTTGAATATTAACATCTCTGCTAACGGACTGTAATGGATGCTGCATTCATTGCTAACACATCTTCTCTCCCTTCATCTTTTGCAGGATTATAAGGGCCAGAAGCTGGCTGAGCAGATATTCCAAGGAATTATACTAATCTCTGCGGTAAATGTTCTGATTCAGACCAGGAAATGGGATTTTTAGATTTCAAACAGAATTAAAATCATAGTGAAAACTAATATTTTTTAATATGCCACAAAATCTGTTCAATCAGTATATTTTCTTTACACAGAAAAATTATATGTAGGTGGTGTTTGATTTTAAAGCTTATCTGAAATTAAATCTAAATATCCTTTAAAGTCCCACAGTGGTGAAAATTACATTTGACAGCAGCAGTGGTGGAATGTGGGTTAACTAAAAGATATACACACAAATAAAAACAACAAACAGGGGTTGACGTTAAGGATTTTTACCACTTGCCCGACTTTCACATTTCATTTGCCCAGAAACAATTTTACTTTCCCAGTATAATGTTTGATAAATATATTTCCTAATATTCATTTTGTATATATATATATATCAATGAAACATGTTTGTTTTTTTAAATGTTTTTTGTTATTCAGTATTTTTTAATTTTACAGATTCCTGTTGTGTATATGCATGCCTCAGATAATGAACTCAAGCCTACATTACCTTGTTAACATGCCTTTCAATCCTTCCTGCACATTCTTTTCAAACTAAACTTTGCTTTAAACTGTTGTGTGCTTGGGAAAAATACAAATTGTAATG